TACACACACACACACAGCTACACACACACACACAGCTACACACACACACACACAGCTACACACACACACAGCTACACACACACACACACACACACACACACACACACACACACACACACACACACACACACACACACACACACACACACTACACTCACGCACTACACTCACGCATACAGCTACACACACACACACAGCTGTACACACACACAGCTGTACACACACACAGCTGTACACACACACAGCTGTACACACACACAGCTACACACACACACACCTACATGCATTATAAAAATGTACTTCCCATATGTCTGTTGTTATTCCATTGCATTTGTACATCATTAATACTGTTTTCATTCTTTGTTTGATTCACGAGAAATTGAATTTTTTTGATGGTTGTATTAAATACTCATTGCATTTACAGATTAATATTTTGTAATATCTGCTTTTTTGTAGTCTGGCATAAGTGATACAGAATTGTAAATGTAATAAAACAGAAGTATGTGAAAGTAATACTAATACTGGTTTAAGCTACATTGAATTTGTTGCGTTATGGTGTAGCTTTGGGTTCATTGCATGTTTGGGTTATCGTCTGTATTTTTCTTTTGTGCATATCATGTATAATGAGTAAAGCATGTTTTAGAAATGCATCCCTTATATTGTAGAAAAGGTTGAAAGAGAAAAGTCAATGATATTTGTATATTTTTGTTGTAATAAAATTATTATGACATGTGACCAGATGGAAGGATGCTTACACATGCATGCACACGCACGCAAGCACACAAGCACGCACGCACGTATGCAAGCACGCAAGCATGCACGCACTCACTCACGGACGTATCTATGCAATGTCCTGACATACTCAAGGAAACACTTGCATGCTAGCACATTTAATCCCTACATTAATGTTTGGTTGCTATAGTCCACTCTTCATTTTCTATTTTATAAGAAATTTGGTAAAAGAAAAGAGTTGCTACCAGTGGCTCTTTGGTTTGTTTATAAGTTGCTACCAGTGGCTCTGAGGTTTGTTTCACATAACGGGCTTGCAGAATAAATTAGATGATCTAGAGTCTCAGTAGACATTCTGGAACTCTTGGGCTTCCTGACATTTCCTGCTCATGTATCTGTTCTTGTTCTGTTTTTTTTTTCCCTATTTCTCTTCCTCATCTTCTGCCAATTCCATTAATTTGTAGTCTTTAACCCCCTCCCCCCCCTTCTCCCAGCTGCATGCTACACCCCATACTAATATAAACTTATGAATGCATTTAGTGTATGATGCTGTACCTTAAAAGTGATGCTAACTTTTTATATTGTTTCAGTTATTGGTTCAGTATACGCAGGCAGTAAACATGCCTCCTGATGAGACGTGCTCCATCTGCATGTGGAGCTTGCAAGAGTCCTCAGGTTATTCTGATGATGAAAATGAAGGTGCTGGTAATGCAATGCACTTAGGTAAGTTATGGTTCTGGGATACATCCATTGAATCCACTTTTTATCCCAGGAAACCCAGAATTCCTACATTATTTTTTTGTGAGTTAACTTCCAGTGTGTAGTATGATTAATGTTAATTATTTAGTTATTATGAAGATGTGGTGTATTGTGTAAGTTAAATATTTTTACTGTGATGATGATTTTTACCCTATCTTCCACACTTTTACACCATATACAGAAATTTTTAAGTGAGATGATATATATCACAAATACTTGAAGAAATACAAATACCTTCTTTTTATTCTGAAAAATGTACTTACATATCATAATTATTTCAAATGTTGATTTTAAGCATGATGCAAGGTATTGCAGTATCTGATGTATTCATTGTTGGTTTAATTGGTTATACTAAAAAACAAATTACATATTCATAATAGTACATTTGTACAAAAGCACCAAAAATATATTAGTCTCGATCATTAACAGTGAACTTGTCCTGCAGGTGCAATGAGATACAGAGTTGCAAGTCTGAATTTATGTGGCCACTTGTTCCACCAAGCTTGTATCAGAGAGATGGCAAAATCGTCGCCTCATTTCCTGGAGTGTCCGAACTGTAAGACTCTGCATGGAGAGAAGCTGGGAAATCAGCCTGACGGTAAAATGTCTGTTACAACTTTGCAGCGATCTCTCCCCGGACACTCTGATTGCAGTACAATACAGATTACTTACAGGCAAGTTCTGTTTTGGTTGGTTTCGCTTCGTTTTATGTAATTTTTATTTTGTTTATTTTATTTTATTCTTTGTTTTGGTTTGTTTTGTTTCGTTTCATTTTGTTTTTTGACATTTCCTTTCATTGTATTTCATATCCAGTTACAGTTATAGTTATATAGTTTAGTTATAGTTAGTTATAGTTATACTTAAAGTTATAATTATAGGTATAGTTATAGTTATAGTTATAGTTATAATTATAGGTATAGTTATAGTTATATTTGCAGTTATATTTACAGTTATATTTACAATTACAATTACAGTTAGTTACAGTTACAGTTAGTTACAGTTATATTTATAATTACAATTGCAGTTAGTTACAGTTATATATATATAAGTATATTTATATATATATATATATATATATATATATATATATATATATATATATATATATATATATATATATATATATATAAATATGATTTTAAATATATTATATATATATATATATATATATATATATATATATATATATATATATATATATATATATATATATATATATATATATATATCAGGGGCATCACTAGGATTGAGAGACAGGAGGGCTTAGCCCCAGAAGGGTTGTAGTCAATGCGCCAAAAATTTTTCAGTGCCTGTTGAACTCTCTCCCCTTCTCCCCACCACCATCTGCTTTTTTTTATGCTACTGATCTGATCTGACTACAATGTACTGTACACTTTAATTTTGTTGGGCTTTATTTATTTACTATGATGTTTAGGCATAATTGCAATAATGTTACTTGTTACACTTGTGATAGGTAAGAATACAATACCTTACAGTACTTCATGCTGCCTTGTCCTGTGCTTTATTGTTTGTCCTGTCTTTGTCCACACATGGGACAGTGAGAAACGTAATTCTGATTCACTTGCATGTCCTGCATGTGAATAAAGGGACAATAAAACTGACTTGACTCTGATGCCTTTTGCCTTAGCCTCCAAGGTTTAATCCAAAATAGAAGTGGTCATATATGGACAACATCATCCTAACAAATAAGGATATCCTTGAGATTTTTTCACAGTATACAAGCTTTAACTGTTTTAACGTAAATGGTAGTGATGTGAAATGGAACATAGGAGGTGTTGTTAAATCAACAATTGAAAGACAAAATAACTGTAAATGAAAACTATCCAGGAGGTAGTAGAACTACCTGAATAATAGACACTCAGCTACCCATTGCCATCAGTGTTGTGGCATGGGTCAGTATGCCCAGTTGAACGCTTTTGGCCAAACTTTCTATTTTGTGGGTGGAAGCATCAAAGAGTGCCTTCTGTTTTTCAGAGTGGCAAAACGGTCTATGACTTTGCTGTCACTCAGCTGACTTAGTAGGCATTTTCAATAGCCATGACTGCGAGGTTATGGAGCCTTCTCTGCCCCGTTGTTTGACGCAGCCAGGTGTGCAACCGACGCAGTGCACTGAAGGACCTTTCACATGACCAGCTACTTACAGGCACAGTCAGAGCAACTTGGAGGACCTCTTTCAGAGAGGGAAACATGTCTGTGTTTAAGAGGTTGTATACAGCTAGCATGTCTTGGGATGGATTCCCAGCATCTGCTTTGTGAGCAATGAAGTTTCTAGCAACAAGGACCTCCTCTGTTTTTAAGTCAATGTTATAGTGCCCAGCAAGTTCTTTCAGGTTCACTTCATTCAAGAAGTTCTCAGATTTAGGGCTGCATGCCTGTATGCCTTTTAGGAGTCTTGTATCTACACTGGCAAATCTTTCGTCAAGCTAAGCAACCATCCTATCCAAACAGGGGAAAAACAACTCTGTTTTCAGGACCTCCGAACTCACTAACTCAGTGCGTGAACCTAAGGTTGTCTCACACAAAAAATCTTCCATTTTTCTCTGTTTCTGCCTTTTCTTGGCATGTGGTTCTGGAATGCTGTGTGTGAGGCAGAGTGCCTTGGTTCTCTCAAACATTTTGGTGCCAAATGCATCTGTGCGTTTATCTTTGAGAGTATCACACACAGCATCTTTGCAAATCAGAGCTTCTGCCAGGTCTAATGTCTCCTTCTGAAGGAGTTTGTGGAGTCCTTCAGTGATGGACAGAAGTGTCTGAAACATCAAGAGAGCATAGATGGTTGAGAACACTGATAGCTTTGCTCTGATTCCAATAGCCAAGGGAGACCCAGTGACAGAGAGGCATTCCAATATGGCAGGTAAGGTCTGAAGCATTGCATTGATTGATTGCAGCTGACATGCCCAACATGCGTTGGAAAGTTGCACAAGCTCTACTGCTGCCAACCCAAGCCTGGACTGAGCATCTTTGAACTTATGGTGATTCACTAGAGAGGTGGTGAAAAAAGAATACACACTCTCCAACAAAGCAAATAGCTCCACAGCCTCCGTAACAGCCTTGCAAGTGTGGCACAACACTAGGTTGAGCTCATGTGCATAGCAGTGTATATAGATAGCTTCAGGATGAAGCCTTCTAAAACGTGCCTGCACGCCTCCTATGGGTCCACTCATGACTGCGGCACCATCATAAGTCTGTGCCACACACTTGACATGAGCAAAGCCATTGATCTGGAGCTGCTCCTGTAGCTTGTCTGCAATGGACTGGGCATCAAAGGACATCAGTTCTGAAAGTGCTAGAAACCGTTCCTTTACCTCCCCCTCTGACACATACCTAACACAAACAGCCAGCTGCTCTGACCGACCATCTCTTGCCTCATCTGCCATGATGGAATACATTTTGGAGTGAGTGATCTCAGACACAATGGCACTGGTCACTTCCTGAGCACAACACTCAATCATCTCATTCTGAGACACTGGTGAGGTGTACGTGGCATTTGATGGAGGATTGTGATTTTGAAGGAATGGATCAAATATCATCAAAAGCTCCATACAAGCCAGAAAGTTGCCTCTGTTTGTGCTCTCTGCACTTTCATCATGCACACGAAAGGGTAGTCCCTGGGCCCCTAACATTGAGGTGACTGCAACAATTCGCTTCAGATGTCTCTTGTGTCTATGCTGTGTTGTCTCTTTAACATGCATTTAATGCTGATAGTGTGACATTTCTGACACTGACACAGGCAACAAAATTAAACGAACTCTGTTGCAAAGCCCAGTTCAGCGACCATAACAGTTTGTAACTTCTCATACGGTATGTGACATAGCCTATGCAATGTCTTTAACTCGTTACATTATGGCGCAGCCAAAACACAGTGTTCTCTGTGGATCTACTGACCTCAGTCGAGACCTCCTCAGCATCAGCTTTGTGTGTCTCCTCCCGCTCTTCACTCACTCTCTTAAAAAATCTTATATCCATATAGCTGCTAGCCAACGTCACTCGCAATGCTGTGCGACAGTCTCCAACTTGGTCCGGCAAAGCAACATGCCCGCGGTGCCAATAACGTGACACTAGTGTAGCCAATGAGGCATGGGAATCATAACGATATTAATTTTATTTAATACATACTAAAACGTGTATTTATCAGTTAAATATCAGTTTAACTCGTTTTTTGCTGATTCGTGTTCAGTGTATGCCTGCGCTTGTTCTAAATGTATATTTAAAAAATATATAAAATTCCAAAATATTCCCAAAATTATAGGGTGGCTGAGGACTATTTTAGGGGGGATTCAGCCCCCCTAAAATGGGTCTAACAATTTATTTATATATACATATTTATATATACATTATGTTATGTATATTATTTATATCTATCTATCTATCAATATCTAAATCTATGTCTATATCTATATCTATATCTATATCAATATCTATATATCTATATATCTGTATATCTATATATCTATATATTTGTATATCTATATATCTATATATCTATATCTGTCTATATCTGTCTATATCTATATCCATCTATCTTTCTATCTTTCTATCTTTCTATCTATCTATCTATCTATCTATTTATCTATCTATCTAATACATACATACATACATACATACATACATACATACATACATACATACATACATACATATATGCTCACATACATGCATATATGGTTACATATGTAAAGAGGAATGTATATTTGAAGAAAATATTATAGGTTATGATATTCATAATAGATTTGTAATTAACTAACTGCAGCATCCAAAGTGGGATACAAGGACCAGAGCATCCTCATCCGGGGCTACCTTATACAGCAATAGGCTTCCCTCGGGTAGCTTACCTCCCAAATAATGCAAAAGGAAAAAAGGTAAATATGATATCTTGTTTGATACATGTCACTTTGAGAAGTAGGAGTTTATTTACAAAATAATAATAAGATTTTAAGCGGCTAGATATAACTGTGTCCATATAATATTACAGGTATTAAGTCTCTTGAGAGAAGCTTGGCAGCGACGACTAATCTTCACAGTAGGAACATCGGTAACCACAGGCATAACAGATGCTGTCACCTGGAATGAGATTCACCACAAAACTGAGTGGAATAACACGTCAGGGCATGGGTATCCGGACCCTAACTACCTGGACAACATTCTCCTAGAACTGGCTGCACATGGTGTTACTGAGACGACACTTGTTTGAAGGAGAGAGCTTGCAAGAGAAAGAACCACATGCAAAGTTAACTATATCCTGAAATGTACAGAGAAACACAGACACAATGCATGAGATTGTATAACTGCGTTTAGAAGATAGTTGATTTTAAGCTCCAATTTTGAAGTATATGAATATAGATTTTGCATATTTAACAATATATTTTGGATTAGTAAAGCATGCATCTAAAGTTTGGGTGATAATATCTTGTTTATTTAAAAATCTTCTTTGGTCATTAAATCAATGAAACTGTAAATATGATTTTTTCCTGGCTTCAGTCTGTGAAGCAACTTTTTCAGTTCTATCAAAATCATATTTTCCAAATTAGTTTTGTTAAGTACAATAAATGGTGCTGATAGCAGTATGTATTAAGTGGTAAGAATTTTTTCTGAAGTTGTATGGTGATATCCTGAAAATCTGTATAAATTTAGTGGCTATTATTCTAGGTGTCAGATGAAAATGACAAAAAACTATCACACAGCTTGAAGCAGAGGTCTTCATTTTATGAAGATGTAAGTATGGAGATATGTAATGAATACTTGTTACGAGACACTTCCTATGCAAACCAAATACTTTGGGTAGATTTTACATAATTGATGTAAAATCCCTGAACCCTATGGTGTATAGAATTGATTTAGAAGATTTATAACTTTTCAGCATGAATTACATAAATGCATCCTTTTTAGAGAAAAAAAATCATCTTTCTGCCTTGACAGAAAACAATTTGTTTTTCATCAAATAAATGCCATATTTCTATATTACAGTAATTTACATAAAACATTTTTGTGATG